AACATTAAGTCTCACCAAAATTGCTGTTTTTAGGTCGATCTAACGAGACTGCAGCATGAAAACTGCTTTGGCAACAATAGTAGAAGCCTGACAGACACATGCAAACGCAATACAAAGCCACAAGTTTGCTCAAGTATTCGTGTTTGTTTTAAATTTAGCCAGACTTTGCAATGTATTTTTTTTAACACAACATATGCAAAGTGTGGGATTAAAAAAGCCTCAGGGAGTTTGGAGCATTAACTGCATAAGAAAAACTCCACACCATCTGGTCCTTGTTTTATTTCCGCGGTCGCTGTTTTCCGTGTACAACAACAAGCCTGCTCGTGATGATTTTTAATGCGTGGCGACATTTGGTTTTCTGATAAATTCAGACACAGTACAGCGCAATCTAATAAAGGATGCAGAACATATTAGCATATCACACATGCTGCACCTATCTGTTGATCACAAATGCATCTCACAACAACTCCAACTGTGATGCTGCCGCGGCGAAGCCTTTTGAGATGGCTGCGCTTCACTTGGAGACAGGTGAGATGAAACAAAAATGCATCAGCATGCGACAAGCTGGGGGCACATTTCAGTGTTCTTTTGCTCACTTCATAAACTTCAGCTTCTGTATGGCTCGACAGATTAGGTTTTGCAATGAGCTTCAACGTCTGGTCTTTTTAATGTTCAGCAAAGACGCGTACAAAGTGCAGAAACCGTCTTGTTGACATGTTTCCTAGAACCGGGTCTGATAAAGAATAAAAGCCCAGGTTTGCTTTCTCTGACACGTTTTACATGCAGTATACATGTGTGATATTGCAGGATGAATAGCATTGCATCAGTTGCTGCTCATGCTCAAAGGTATGAAAGAGTTTATTCAAGTAGTCGGCAGGTTCAAGTTGGATAAACATCGCTCCTTCTATGAAGAGCTCCTCTGGAAGCTGAAATGTCTGCTATCAAAATAATCTCAGAGGTTTGCTTTAACTTTGTAGGATGTTGCTAAAAAGAAGCAGATTTATGGTTCTGTGTCAGGTGGTTGCAGACAGTTTGTGACAAGTCTCCAGAGCCCTTCGAACCTCCTCACGAATACAGCTCCACAGCCGAGCCGCGGGGACACGGGGATGCCAGACTCAGAGAGTGGCGACTGGTTATTTAGGCCTTCAATCGAGTGCTGTTAAATCAGTAGACCTTCTGAACTACTTACACTATTTATCTAGCAACCAAAACACGGCGAGCCATTCAGGTTGCTCCATGTGAAAAAAACAACCTTTTACAAATCACGGAGCATCAGCCACTGGACTTTATTGTACAGCTATCCATTTATGTAGAATCCTTTGACATCTACTCTGTATTGGAACCGGTCTCATAGTAGCGTACTCAAAGTATTGATAGTTGCTGAAGGCCAAACCATCAACTAATGAAAGCTTAAATGAAGCAGGATTTCTATACATTTGCTGCTCTTTGATGAACTGAATTAATTAGTTCTGCAAAGACGAGCGCACCATGAAGGCGTGAAAACTAACAGGTTAGGTCACCTCACAGAGTGAGCGTAGGTGTGCAACACATCACTGTGGAGTGGAAGTCATCACATTTAGTTCTACATGAGAGAAGTTTGTAGAGATTCATAATACTACTATTTTAACCTGACTGACCAGATGTTTGTCATAAGAAGGAACACTTTGTTGCTCAGTTTCTTTTATATAAACTGACATTAAAGTGGACATATCATTACTTTTTTCTTATGTTTTAATAGCTCTGTTGTCGATACAAACATGTTTAATATGTCCTTTGCACAAATTCCCTCATAAAAAAAGCTACTTCAGCAGTTTTACTCTTGGTTTTAGTACCTTCCATGAGCGTTTGTTTCAGGGCTCTGTCACTTTAAGGCATAGTTTGCAGTTTTGGCTTGGCTTTAGCAACCCCTTGTGCCCATTAGTCGAAGCAAAAAAGAAACTTACGCCCTTGCTGTGCGTTTGGCTTTTTAACATCTTAATCTAACAGCTGAAATGTCTCCTCAGCCTTCAGTAGTGTCTACAGGAGTGGCTCATCACTAAATCAAACACATTGGCTGTGTTCACATTCTAAATCATGCAGGAATGATATGCTGGAAGCAGACTTCAGCTCCAGGCATGTCAGCTTCACTTTATTAAGTCCAACAGGGGCTGGACCGCAACTCTGAAGTTGCAAGTGCAATCATCTGGCCACAGAGTGAGGTGAGGGTCTGCGTGACATCGCATTAGCCCTGTAAAGGGTCATTTTAGCACATACTGGTTCAAGACAATTATTAGAAAATGATGAAAACATTTCATAGTATGCCTTTAAAGTTTGATTTATACTCCTCTGTCTGCATTGGCATGGGGACACACAATGCCACGATGCATCAACGCAAGGGCTCTGCGGCAAGACGGCAGAAGTTTATGGAGGCATGACCAAATTGTTAACTATTTGTCAAAAAGACACAGAAACCACAAGCCTGTGGTCGGTTATAACGCTGCTACCTTAACAGCACCACCATTGACCCCCTCCAAAAAATAAAAAAGAAGTTCAGAAGATATCTAGCGGCAGACAAAGCAGATCGAAGAACTTAGGGGTAAAAAGATGAAAGACAAACTTTTTGTTTGTGGACAGAATGACAGGAAACGTGGGTTTGGAGGTGGTGAGTGATGTAGAGGTAGAGAAAGATGAGCGATGAATGTATCTGTGTTAAAAAGTCTCTGAAATACATACATCATCGTCGACCAGAAACGTGACTGAAAAGGTGGCAGGATATCCCCAGAAAAGCGCTACGGCCTCTGTTGCATTGGTGAGTAATTGTTTTGCAACCCTCCCCAGGCAATGGAGAAACTTGAAGGTTAAATGTCTTCGTCAATGCGTTTGCACGACTCCGGACCTGAGCTGATGGAGAACTATAAATTATACTTACGAAATCAAGTTGGAGCTTACCACGCCCACCTATCCCTGCTATAAGATGAGAAGCTCCGATATTCAGGAGGGGCTTGGAATAGAGCCGCTACTCCTCCATTATCAGCTTTCTCTTGTATGTGAGAGATGGTTCTATTCTAATTTCTGGGTTTTCCTGACTTGTTTCAGTCACATAATACCTACAACCAAACTGACAGAAGACAGATGGATGGATGTTTTTTATTTTCTTCACGTTTGGAGTGTTTATAGAGGCAGCAGAGAGACACAAGGCAGCACAAAAGGATTCCATTACATACAAAGTCCAGGTTGTTCACACTCTTACAGAAAAACCAGGAGTGGAACGCAGCCCCCATTGACACAGGTGTGTATTCCCTAGTCCGATGAGTTAATATGCCATTAAATATGCCTTTTCAAGTTTTTTTTTAATTGAAAGAGTCATCAAAAGTTATGAGTGTATTATTTATAATTAGAAAACTAAACTAAATGTATGAGCACTCAAAAGAAATTCACAAAGTTATTTTATTTTATTGAAAAGACTAAGTAAGTCTCACAGCAACAGACTGAAGCCACTGTGGATTCCTGTTCTGTTTGCCAGTTTATTTTCAGGTCATGCAAGTGTCTTTTTAGATGTTTTTTGTGTTTTATGGAGAGTTTTATGTCTTGGAATAGTGTTCTGTGAAACATTCTTTGCAAAATGTCTTCTTTGGGCTTTATTTTACTGTTTGGTGATCTGTCATATTCTGTTTCTGCTGGGCTTTACCCATAGCTGCTGTGTTTCTGCCTCAAGCCAAGTGTATAGGGTTCATGTATACACAGAGAAAGATGCACTCAAACTGACCAACACTTTCTGAAATGTCCCAAAGCATAAAAAATAAAGAAACCATACCAGGCTGAGGGTTAGAAGATAAATAAATCCAGCCAAAAAAAAACAAAACAAAAAAAAAAAAAAACAGACTGTAACTAAAAGCATGACGGGGGCATTTAATAAAATTCTTACACATTGGGATGAATATATAATAAACAAACAGGCCCCTGTATTATCCCTGTAAGCCACTTATATGTGATTCATCTGTGGTTCATTAAATTTATTATTTATTGTTTAATATTTATTTTTTACACAGAACCAAGACCACCAAAAGCTCACGAAAATAAAACTCAATAAAACAAAGCATACATGAATCATCGACAGCCTAGTCAATGAAAAAATAAATAAACAAAAAAACTGAAGTATTTAGTCACATAAGCCGATCTGACTAAGGGACAACCTCGACTATTTTGGTGATGAAAGGAACACAAATTGTGTTGGACAACTGGAACAACGACTGTGCACCGTAGAGGGTTTAATGTCAAAACAGCGGTCTGGAAAACTGACAACGCACACCAGCCAGAGGCCCCGAGGCGTACTTCTTAGAACTGCAGTCATAATACTGCCTGCACAGCAGCAGCAGCAGCAGCACACTGAAGCCCCTTAAACAGTGAATTCCTCAGATTATCGAGTGTGACCTCATGGCGCCGTAACCCAGCGGTGACTCTGCTGTATTTGTATTTGATTGTTTCATTATGTCTGCATCCCATTCTCGTGTCTCTGCACCGGCTAGACAAAGACCGGCTCGTGTTCACTCATTTTACTCGCCGATTACAGGGAATCTGATTGATGATGAAACGCAAATTTAGTTATGCTTATTGAACTGATGCAAAGAATTAAACTTGACGCCTGTTCGTCATAAGCACGAGCCTTCGCATGCAGCTAAAAAAAAAGCCGTGTTCCTCCTAAAACAGCTGAGTGGTGTTGAATCGCAGCGAGCCCTGCACCCCGGTGACTTACACACTGATTTATTCAGTCATTACTGTGAGTGATCGGCCCTTCAAAACTCTCCTCTATTATCTCCAGATGGGATGACGAACCATATTTCATTCTGATTCAAGCCTTTACTGTTGGTGATTCAGGGTAAAGACCACCTGCCTGTAACTCAAAGAGGCACCTATCTCTGCCCCACAGCAACACACACACACACACACACACACACACACACACACACACACACACACACACACACACACACACACACACTGCAAACATGAGCAGTTCTTACCGTTCTGAATGTCCAGTGTGTGGTGTTTGTCTAACATCCACCCTCCCGTGTTGGAGGCATCCAATTCATAGCCTTGTAACACCGCCGTCCTCTTCTCCCAGAGCACCACATCAAGGCAGGACTCGTATTCATATCCCACTGACACTGAAAGTAATGGCAGCAGATACCCATGGTGAGCAAGGCTGCAACCTTTGTACTTGACACTTATAGCAGCAATGAGGCTTGTAGCTGGGAAGACATTCAGCACACGTTGTGGTTGTTTTATGCTTCCGCCGGTTGCTGCCGGCTCTTTTGTCGGTGCGATTCTCACTAGCTGGGATGATTTTAGAAGACCAGTGGGGTTTCTGTGTCTCACCTGCACTGTTTGGATTTAATGCACTCGCCTCTTATTTATGCTGTGTAAATGCAAATGAAGCACAACGCAAAACTGTGTGTAAACTGGGGGTGAGTTATGTAAACAATAAAGTCTCAGATGGAGCCCATTAAAGTAAACGCTGGGATACAGTTAAAGCCACGAGCCGTGAATGTTTCCTTCCGATTGAGCTCCGGCATTTATTCTTTAACTTTTTGCAAAGTTTTATGACTTTGGCAGCAAAATATGAAGATTTAAGTGTTACAGGGTGTACTTCTGTAATGCAGTATACAGCAATACTTGGTGCTTTACTTATCATATAAAAATCATAAATCCTACCACCTGGTTAAAATATAATGCAGTTTTATATTGAAATAGTTAATGTTTTGTCTATCGAGTATTTGTGGATCTTTTTGTTCAGACCACTGCCTCATAGGCAATATTTTCATTCTTGCACAGCTGCTGTAATATCATACATGCAAAACAAACAAGTCAGCAAAAAGGCAACGGCCTTCAAAAATGCAGCACTGGGAGATTTCAGGATTTCACACCAACTGCTACGTCTTTATTGCTCGTGGTAACAAAAGCAGTCCCCAGCTAAATAATCTTCAATTGAAAAACCAGTCAAATCAATCTGGGAAAGTTCAGCCGGGGTTCAGCTCTTGAAGGCGTCTGACGGTGAACCCGTGCCTGCACAACATTTTTAGCTTGGAGCTTCACAGCAGGAACTCACCCACAGCCTCCGCCAGGCCAAAGACCTTCTGATTGTAGGCGTCTGTTTTATCCCAGATGAAGGTGTAGGAGAGGTCGGGAAAGGCTGGGAAAGACTTCTGGAACTGACGGCCCATGACGGCCACCATCAGGTGCACTTTCATCAGGCCAAAGGGGAGACGGTCCTGGGTCAGAAGCACCTTGAGGATGGGCTTGTAGCCAGCTGCCCTGGAGCTCAGGTAGACCAGGTTGAGGTCGCTGCCTGGTATGGCCACTTGCTCATGAAGTACCTGTGATTTTAATTAGCAGTCAGACCGAAGCCAGAACCCAGTGTGAACAGCAGACATGAAAAAAGCACAGCTAAAAGGAGCACTGGGAGTGTGTATTTAACTCAGAAAATGACCCTAATTACAGTTTATAAAGTTGCTGTGCAATCTGCAAACACACCAGACTGCACCGGTGTGTTTGCAAATGGGGCTCGCTCCACAGGCAGTAAATGAATCCTTTATTATTGGAGAGAGAATGAATTAAATACCATAATAGTAAAGCCTGGGCAGCCCATGTGCCTTTTTAGAGAGTGTCGTTTTGCACCTGAAGCTGCAGTTATGCAGAAACACGCCGATTCGCTTGTATCAGCTGAAATGTAACACAGATATATTTTGTTCTGACTTAAAAAGCAAAGGCTGCAGTCACATTTTGCTGTTTGTTGATTTTCAACTGTGATTGCACTGAACTGGCTGCGGACCAAATCCAGAGGCTCGTAACCAGAGAATTTATTTATCGCTGCCGCTGTGACACAATTTACTGCTTTGTATTTGGGGAGATGCTTAAATTCAATAAAGGGCCAAAGGCGAGCTGAGAGGTCCAATCTCACCGTTTAAAATAAGCAAGACAAGATATGGTGGAATGAAGATAACAACATAATTATTTTCACCACTGCAGCCTGTAATGTCAGGATCAAACGTGGGTCAAATAATAGCTGCCATTCCAAACAATCAGATATGAGGTGAATTTTGTAATTGGCTATAAAAACCTGTTTTAATGTGAGGCCGTTGGGTCACCTCTGCCATGCGGGCTCACCTGTGTCTCAGGGACGATGGGACTGTCCTCTTGGGAGGTTTTATACAAAGTGGAGAGTGGTGAGGCAAGGATGAGGGGGTTGGGCCTGACCAGCCCCGTTAGGTAACAGCTGGGGATGTCGTTCTCCTCCCGCTTCATCAACACGGTGTCCATTACGTGGAAAACGTTCCAGGGCAGCCACACTGTGCGCTGCAAGGTGGGGAACGGGGCTCGCTCGTAACTCAGCGTCAAAGAGGCTCCGCCATTGACCAAGAGGTCAAACCTTACAAATAGAAGGAGATCATTTTTAAACTGGATCTGCTCTTTATTTTCACCTCCTAAGATCCTAGACATGTGTGGACACTGGCTTTTTGCAGTATAACATTTTATTCTCTTCAAATTAAAACTTTTTAAATAATTATTATTTAGAGACACCTGATATTGACTTTAAGTACATTTTCCTTTTCTTTCATTCTTTAAAAAAAAAGAAATCTGTCAACATTTTACTTTTTATTTATTTATATATATATTTTAATATTTATATTTAAATATTTTGTTCACATTTGTAGGACTGACGTGTAACAGCTAGAATTATTTTTTTCTTTTAAATCACACAGAATACAAATTTGGGTCTCAGGAGGTTACAATAAATATCTGCAAAACTCTTTGTTATGATTTCTATTTTATTTTAATCTATGGCCACAATTTCTCATTAGTTGCTGTAAATATGTCACTAAATACAGAAATGAAATGTAGAATTAACGTAACCAAGTTTCACTAAACCCAGTAGCTTAAATGTAAAGAGTTTCATACGTTGTTACATGTTTTAATGATAACTGTTAATTCCTCTTTACAAGCAGGTTTAGTGGAACCAGCTTGAAGTTAATGGAAGTGTAGAATAAAATCAGTCGTTTCGCTTAATTATTAAACAAGTTTAGTTGTAGATGAAACCATTGCTTTTAGGTTTAAATTATTCATAATAACCAGTTATTTTCTCCAAATATTTTCTGTAAAAATAGAAAACCAAACTAGGATAAAATGACCTTAGATGGCTGAACATGTTTATTTTTTAGTAATACTCCAAAAAGAAATCCTATTTTGGGAGATAGATATTTTTGTCGGAACGATAACTGAGGATTCAGGAAAAACCGATGCGTTGAACAGACACAAAAGCCTCATTTCAGACTTTTTAAATCTATTATTTTAATTTAGTGAACATATTGGATCATATGATGATTCATGGAAATAAACCAAGTGTGAAGATTAAAGGAAACAAGGCTAATAACTAACTGACATAAGAAATGTGACCCTGACCGCCAACCGCTTCTCTTGTTCTACATCAAAAGCTGCTGGTTTGATCATTACCAATACGCTGCTTTATGAAACCTGCTGCAGTCAGTTTTATGTACAAGTCTGTATAAAAAAGGGTATGAGATAAATGAGAGAAAATATTGTATTAAATAAAGTGATGAAATATACAGCATCATGAAAAGCACATTGATGTAGCTTTTTGCTTTGGTAGTATTAGTAATGACATAAATAAAAGGCAAATGTCAGACTTTTTTATTTCGTTGCACATTTCCATAAGACATCAGTGCCATCCGTTTCATCTCTAGGAGTCATTTTCATTCACTGAACCTAATTTATGGTGGTTGTTCAACAAAGCATGACGCTGGCAGAAACTTTGCGGCTGATCCTGGTGTGGAGGGGTGGGTCTGGGGAGTTACCCCTGGTGAACTGGTATTAATTAGCACGACATTACTCAGGGAAAAGTTACTGGTTTGGAAATGAAGGGCAAGTCTTTGAAGTGATGCTCTATATATTCGGTGAGCTCCACCACCCCAAGGGGTGCAGCATCTGTGTGGTGACATTGCATGCATTCTCACGCACAAAGACACACTCACACATCTGAACACTCTTGCACGATCCTCGTGCACGCACTGACGCCCAAAACGACACACATACACACCCGCCAACAGCCAAGCTGTGCAGCTGACCTAAAACAGCTTCCTCCTCAAGCTCTCTCCTTTTTGGGCAGTGGGGAGCTCACAGCTGCAAGAGGCCAGGCTTTGATGCTGCCCCCCCACCCTCAACACACTGAGCGGATTTGTTGGCTAACCAAGTGTGATTATCCTCTACCATTTATCACGCTCCTTGTCAGAGAGTTACAGGGCGGAATATCTGAAGAAATCAGCTAATCCTCAGCTATATGGGGACCCAAGGACTGTGATTCACAACAACAGCTGTGCAATCCTCCGCCACTCAAAGAGCTTTATATTCCACGCCGGACGCACATAAACACGGCCCTTATCAGCTGAATTTGAACCACAATCTGGGTTCATAATTTTGACAACAGTCTGAACTCTTCCAGTGAGACAGGTGACAAGCGTTTGTCTCAGATGTTTTTTTCACCGCCATTTTTAAGGACCTTTCTGTGGTAATAGCAGGAGAAGGTCGGACAGTAATCCCATGTTTTACTACTCCGTGGGTGGATTGATTCTGCCCTTGCTGATTCAATGCATTTTAAACAGCTTGGACCCATAATGGACTCCACTACTGTGGCAATTGCGTGAGGAATTATTCTAAAGCACAATGTTCTGCTGGTTTTGGTTCACTGTGAGTTGTTTTTGAATGCCCATCTCTGTTATGGGTCAGGAAAAATGCTGTGTTTTCCTATTTTCTGCAGATACAAATGTTTGTGCACAATGAGCGAAACCCCCTTACATGCCGTCCTGCCGGGTGATGGTGTAGCCGTACTGTGGATAGTGTGGGAAAGACACGTTGACTCCAATCAGCGGTGTCCCGTCTCCTGTTAGAACCTGACCCCGGATGACTGATGCCAGGCTGTGTAGACAAACAAACAAAGAAAAGGCTGAGTAAACAAACAATGCCAGTTGGTGTCAACAGCAGTCACTGCATCAGCACTGCTAACAACTGTCATGTCTTTGCCAGCGGCATAAGGAGCGAGGTATGATTTACTGACCATTAGGAACACACACATGTCAGCGGTTGTTACTCATGAAAATGTCACCTCACAAAGCCGCTCTCTGAGTTAGTTTACTGCTTTTAAAAACCCATAATTCACTTGGAAGAGGGCAGTTGACGCATATTTCTTTGCACATAAGCGCTCACTTTTTTCATTTTTATTTTGACAGGATGCACCCTTCAGTGCCTTGTATAGAAGGCAACTCACACTATAAGGCTATCACAAATAAACAAACAAACTTGAATTTGAACAAACAAACCAACAAACAAATAAATAAATAGATAGCACATGTTGGTCTACTAGAAAATAGTTGGTTCATTGTTCAAAAGGACATAACGTTGTCCATACTGTAACGGAAGTGGAGTTTTGTGGAAAGATTAAGGAGAATTATTTTAAACATTTCAATCAATTAAGAGTGAATTAATTCCAGAGAGAAGTAGCCCAGGCTGCACTCGAAGGGCTACAGCTCGCTGCTGCTGCTGTTCACACTTGCAAATAATTACAGGTCATGTAAACAACAGTATAATGCAAAATTGATGGAGCTATAAAAGTGTATTAAGCAGTTTAACATGAACTGACGGCTATGTTCTCTCCAGAAATCTGTTTTTGGTCAGCAGAAATACATTGTCGTCTTGGTTGCACTCAGACTAGCTGTAAGCTTTCCAATCCAATCAGAAGTAATCTTTTTTACCAAACAACTCTCTTTTGAAAAGTTAAAGTACAATCCCTCTCACATAAAAAATTATGGCAGTTTTATTCTTCACAGGTTTAGTACCTTTCAAAATGAGCCATTTCAGGGTTCTGCCACTTTAAGAAAACAAGCTGGATCTGGCCACGCCCAGCCATCCCAAGCTCAGGCTCCTTTAAGCTGAGCTTCGTTAGCCTGGAGGGGCTCCGAGTAGAGCTGCTGCTCTTTCAGCCTAGAGGTGAAAGAGGGTTCTATGCTATTTTTCCCATTTGTGACATCACAAATGGGGATGTTTGGGAATGGCTTGTTTTAGGGCAAATCATTCCTATCAATCAATCATCAATCAATCAATCAATCAATCAATCAATCAATCAGTCAATCAATCAATCAATCAATCATCAATCAACCAATCAATCAATAAATCGCTCAACCAATCAACCAATCAATCAATCAGATTTTATTTATAAAGCGCTTTTCAAGCAAAGTGTTTAACAGCATTAAAATGACCCCAAATTCCCATAATAGTTTGAAAACATTAACCAGGATATCTGCAGGTTTAAGGGAGCCAAATTTAAGACTTTTTAAGACCTTTTTTAAGGCCACTTTGACCAAATTTAAGCTATTTTAAAAAATTAAATTTAAGCTATAATTTCCAGCTATTGCCTGGAACCGGTGCTAACCATGTCGCAAACGTGGGATTAACCATCCAGTTACCATTAAGCTTACACTTCCCCATGGCGCACGCTCCCACTAGCTTAATCAGCTAATGTGCTCATTTAAAATAGCCCCCTTTCACAACCAACTGAATGTGTACGGTTCCGCTTACGCCAATATCATACACAAAAAATGCTGAACACCAACTAGAAATTCACGAAAATGTTATAGAAATAAAATAATCTTGTTTATTGGGTCTTTGGTCATTTAAGACCTTTGGAAACTGTATTTAAGGATTATTTGTCATTTTTAAGGATTTTTAGGACCTTACATTTGGAAAAGCTAATTTAAGACTTTTTAAGACTTTTTAAGGACCCGCGGATACCCTGATTAACAGACATATGCATACACACACACTCATACGCACACACACAATCACATCAGTAAAAATTTATATTCCACTGAAGCCAGATGAGCCAAGTAAGGTAAGGCAAGGAAACGCCATCAGAGGAGCCGTCTGCCCCGTTAGCATCAGGTCTTCCACAGCCACTACGTCAGGGCGCTCAGAGGAGGGGGAGCATACACCCCCACCTCCACTCAAACACTACCTGTAGAGCGCCCAGGAAGCAACAGTCGACCACCGTCCCTGGGGCAGAGGGCCCCTACAGAGAAAACACTGGATTTAAATGAGTAAAAATATGAAAATAAAAGAGCTAATATCAATGACTAAAGTAGGAAAATAAATAATAAATAAAATCATATAGACAGTAAAATAATAATATGATTAAATAATGAAACTGTGCTAAAACATAATCATATAAAATATGCAATGCAAGTAATACAATATAATCATGTAAAACCAGAAATAAAACTATAATAAATAATTAGATAAAAGCTAACCTAAATAGGTGGGTCTTGAGTCTGGACTTAAAACCAAACACTGGCAGAAGATGAATGGATGGAGTTTGTCATGTTTGGAGAGGGTAGGCCTGGAATATTCTTGCTTTTTAACGATGCATAAGTGCGGTTAAAACGGTTGCCTCACGTTACTTGCATTGTTTTGAAGAGTCATTTGTGCGCGTCCCCTTAAATCAACGTAATGCATTTGCACTCTGTAATATACAAGTAACCATATGGAGCTGACAAAAAGAGCGAGACACACTTGCCATGGTCACTACGTCTTTAGTTTATAGGTCTTTCATACCATCTATGATCCAACTGCTGTCTTTTATTCAGCAGGGATCTCAAAATTAACCAGTTACTGATCTCTTCAGTTGATGATTGTTTTTGGTTATCCTACAAATGCAGGACTCTATCCGGTCTGAGTTCTCCCCTGTGCCCCCCTAGTGGAACTATCCAGTACTACATGCAGTGTAGCAGCAAGTACGTGTAAAGACGCAGCCTGCTGTCTGCTTTAACACGAGGTTAAAAAGCAAGTATATTCCAGGCAATATTGAGGCAGGAGAGACCTACATAGAGGCACAAAAGGATGCAAAAGATGATTTTTGCTTAATATGTCATATTTGAAAATTCCACTATTAAACTGTCCAAACAACCCATTGAAAAGCCCTGCCTCTTATAAGGAACTTAAATTATGGTAGAAGATAATTATATGGGTTCTGTATGTTTGTTAACCCTTAGATGCAAAGCTCTTAACAGTTTTCTTATCATGAAGTTGATTTTAATAACAAGAATTTAACAGATTTTTGAATAAAGTTTTATGGTTGCAACAAAATCAGACTCTTATCCTAAAAAGAATAAATCAGACTTTTCTTGACATGCCTGATCTATTTTTGATAAGGTAACAATTCACCTGATCGCAAAGTTTGCTCTCTACGTCTTTTGAGTTGGTAAATTTTTCACAATAACTACATGCTGCAAACAGCACATTCCTTGGAGAATCAAAAGGGTTTTTCATTAGTAGTAATTAGCACGATCGCAGGTGAGTTTTAATGCATAATATATTTTTAAATGGGGGGAATCTGCACCAGTGCATAGAGATGCTGTGTGGTCGATAGCACAGACTGTGGTGCAAACATCCCATTGAGTAGGTTTTAAAAGGAATTTTAATAAGGTGTAAAATAATTTCTCACTGCCGCTGAAGCACAATCCTTTAGAAAACTCTGGCTTCAGTGTCCTCTGAGTGGTCAGCTTGTGTCACGTGTGACCATAGCCAGGTCTTTTTCATGCATTCATCATGTCATGAATGAAAAAAAAAACTGCAGCAAAAGTGTTTGTGTGTGCACGCGTGCGTGTTTTCCATTTGGACAGGAAGTGACTTTCCTTGGTGACAATTTTTGGCTTTGCAAACCTCTTTTACATGCACAATTAGCTCCACAACACAAAAAGATTGACAGATAAATTTCCAGTCAGCAAAATAAGGTCAGTTAATGAAGTGTGCAATATACCAAGCAACAAGGCTATTAAATGAAAAATATCAGAAGCATATTCAAACAGTTGTTATGACTCTGACCCTGATGAATTATTTATTTTATGAATTGTTTCTGAAGGAGGTGCAATCCAGATGTCATTATGCTGGGACGTATTTTTCTCCCAATAAGAGCCTTTTGTCATTGTCCAACCAAAGTTTTATGCAAGAAATCTTGATAAATATCAGTGAAAATACTTGTGATAAAAATAATGTTGAAGAGAATGGTGTTAGAACAACTCCTTAGCTCTGTTACACACACCCTCTTGATGTAAGAAGTTGAAATGCTTGGCGGCTGGTGTGTCAAGAGACACTTTATAGCAATTCAGAACAACAAAATGCAACGCTGGAGGCAAACTGTTGCAAAGACGTTTTTGTTTCTACCAAAAAAAGAAGTAACACTACAACATAAAAAAGGATAACCAAGGAGGTTTGGCAAGGTGAAGTCATGAGACGTGTGGATGTGAAGGATCAAATGTAATTTACATTCAGAAAGCATACAATGCTCTTTTGAGGAAAGTCAAAATGTGAAGGTGTCTGTTTAAAAAAATCCTTCAATGAAAAAATAAATAAAAAGAGCTTTTCAGAAAAAGCATTTTCCTTTTTTACTTCCATTATTTTTGCAAACATCCACACCCAGCGGCTGCTTTGTGTAACTCACCCCCTACTGCTGGCCAAACACTAATGCCACTTGAGCAGATAGGGGGGTTAAATACTTCACTTCAGGACACCACTGCGGTAGTTAGTTTAGCGTATGGAAGACCATTACTCATTTACCATCCCTACTCATATTTGTCCTGCTGGTAAATGGATTTGCTTCCGGTCAAAATGCGCTCCACCTCCAGCTTCACTTCCCCTCCTCTCACTTGAAAAAAAGACGGTGCTTTTGTTGGTGTTTTGGCGTTATAAATCACACGTGCAGAAGATTCATACATGATTTAAGACCCTGATATCCTCAACCATTATTCAACACGACTGCAGGTCCTTCAGGTAGAACTTGTCTCAACACACGTTCTCATTCCTAAATTTGAAGGTGTGAAGTGATGTGTTAAGTCAGTCCCGCGTTTGAAGGCAAGAGGGAAGTTGAC